TCTGTTCCTATTTCTAAAAATAATGATCATGATATTATGTTGTGGCACTATAGACTAAGACATCCAAACTTCATGTACTTAAAAAAGATGTTTCCACTACTATTTAAAGGAAAAGATCCAGTTTCATTACAGTGTGAAATTTGCTAATTTTCTAAACATACTCGAAGTTCATTCCATAGTCTACCATATAAACCATCTAAACCATTTGCATTAATTCACAGTGATGTTTGTGGCCTTTTCAGGGTTTCCAACATTTCTGGAACTAGGTGGTTTGTATTTTTTATTGATGAGCATACAAGAATTACTTGGGTATTTCTCATGAAGGAAAAATCTGAAGTGGGATCCCTATTTAAAAAATTTCATACAATGATTCGAACCCAATTTCATGCTACCATCCAAGTATTGAAATTCGACAATGCTTGTGAATATTTTGAAAATACTCTTGAAAAATATTTTACTGAATATGACATTATTCATCAAACCTTCTGTGTTCATACTCCACAGCAAAACAGTATAACCGAAAGAAAAAACAGACATATTCTTGAGGTTGTTAGATCTCTCATGTTCACCACACATGTACCAAAATATCTTTGGGGAGAGGTTATCCTTACAGCTACCTATTTGATTAATCGGATGTCTTCCCGTATTCTACAGTTTCAATCATCATACACTATCCTCTCAAAAATCTTTCATGATTCTCACATCTTAAACACTTTGCCATTTAAAATATTTGGGTGTTTAGCATATGTCCACATTCATAAACATCTTCGTGGAAAATTAGACCCAAGAGCAATAAAGTGTATTTTTGTTGGGTACTCAGCAAATCAAAAAGGATACAAATATCTAGTTCCGAAAATCCGCCGATTTTATAATACTATGCACGTCACCTTTTTTGAGAATCAACCATTTTATCCCACCACTAATATTCAGGGGGAGACATTCACTCAGGAATATCAGTTGTGGGATGTGTGTGTACCACCTCTCTACCCACAAAATCCATCACCAGACAAATCTTCCTTGGAGATTGAATCTGAAACCTCACAAAAGAAATCAGAACCAAAACCTGTTATAGAAAGCACATTATCTGCAACGAGTGAGTTACTTGTCTATACAAGAAGAAACAAAGGAAAAGCATCCGAATCATCCAAGCACTGCCGTGAATTCTCCACTGATCGAGGTAACGTAATCTCTGTACTAACTCTTGGTTCCGTTGATTCTGATATTCCTATTACTTTGAGGAAGGGCACTCGAACATGCACCAAACATCCTATACAGGACTATGTTTCATTGGACAAATTATCTTCGGAATATCATGCTTTTGTGAGCAGGATAGACAGCAGTTCACCTGAACCCATAACAATACATGAGGTCTTGGAAATTCCAGAATGGAAGTTAGCTGTCCTAGATGAGATCAGGGCACTTAAAAAGAATGAGACATGGGAACTAACTGATCTTCCTCCAGGAAAGCGTCAAGTGGGATGCAAATGGGTTTTTACAACCAAATATAATCCAGATGGGAGTGTGAACAGGCTTAAAGCCCGCCTGGTAGCCAAAAGCTATACACAATCATATGGTATAAATTATCAGGAGACGTTTGCACCAGTTGCCAAGCACAATACTATTTAGGTACTCCTCTCACTTGCATCTAACATTGACTGGCCACTGTATCAATTAGATGTAAAGAATGCATTTCTTAATGGCGATTTGGAAGAAGAAGTGTATATGAATATACCACCAAGGTTCGAATTAACTGACAACTTTCAGAAAGTGTATAAATTGAAGAAATCACTCTATGGCCTAAAACAATCTCCAAGAGTATGGTTTGACAGATTCACAAGAGTTGTAAAACATAAAGGATATGGACAATGTCAATTCGAACATACATTGTTCGTCAAACATTGCATATAAGGTAAAAAGGTTATTTTGATTGTATATGTTGATGATATCATTCTTACAGGAGATCACCTTGAGGAGATTCATAAACTTAAAAAATTTCTATCCAAAGAATTTGAAATAAAAGATCTTGGAGCACTAAAGTACTTCCTCAGTATGCAAGTAGCTAGATCAAAAAATGGGATTTCAGTTTCTCAACGAAAGTACATTCTGGATCTCCTAAATGAGACTGGGATGCTAGGAAGCAAGCCTGCTGACACCCCTATGGATTCAGTCATCAAACTTGGATCCAGAATCAGTAATAAAATGGTTGACAAAGGGAGATACCAAAGACTTGTTGGAAAACTTATTTATTTGGCTCACACAAGACCAGACATCAGTTTTGCAGTAAGTACAGTAAGTCAGTTCATGCATCAACCACCAAAAGATCACATGAGTGCTGTGTATCGGATTCTGAGGTATCTAAAGAAAACTCCAGGATAAGGTTTATTCTTTCAAAAAACAGACAGAATGGGTGTTGAAATTTACACGGATGCGGATTGTGCAGGTTCTACAAACGACAGGAGATCTACATCAGGATATTGTACCTATGTTTGGGGTAACCTGGTTATCTAGAAAAGCAAGAAACAGTCTGTTGTGTCTCGCAGCAGTGCAGAATCTGAATTTAGAGCGTTCGCTTATGGTATTTGTGAAGGTGTATGGTTGAAGAGAATACTTGAAAAATTAAAAGTTCTCAACAATATACTTATGAAAGTATGGTGCGACAACCAATCAACAATTAGTATGGTCAAAAATCCAGTACATCACGATAAAACTAAACATGTGGAGATTGATCATCATTTCATTAAAGAAAAATTGGAAGATGGGACTATAACTCTTATGCATATTTCAACCAATCAACAGATCACAGATATTCTAACTAAAGCTCTTTCTAAGAGAATCTTTGATGACATAATATCCAATTTAGGTTTACTCAACATATACGTAAACTAGATTGAGGGGGAGTGTAGAAAATATAATAATTAGAAGAATAAATTAGGATTAAAAATGGTTATTTACAACTGTTATGTACTGTAAATGGAGGAACCATTTACAGCTGTTATGTGCTGTAAATGGAGGGAATCACCAACAAATTTGTTAAAACAAATTTGTCCTTAAAAACAGAATTTTGTTAGGTTTCTTTCTAGAATTTGTTAGGTTGTTAGGGTAGTAGACTTGTATATATGTGTGGAAATCATTCATCAAAAAAAGGAAAAATATTTTCTCTCAATTTTCTGCAATACCCATCCCAACTTCACATCTCGACCATTGATTTCGCCCATCCCATCCTAACCGTTTATCCCACTCTCCCTCACAGATCTAGGCTACTACACTAGAGGCTCATTATTGGTATGAGTTTAGTATGTCCTATACATGAGGATCCTAATTAGTTAGTCTTTCACTATAGCTTGTTTAATTAACTAGTTTTGTTTTTCTATTTATTAGGATTGGTAGATAGACTTAAAAGTTTCTATTTTGATTGTGTTTTGGTACTTATTTAGTACTTGACTTAATAGTTAGGTACTCATATAACTAGTATACAAACATTGCTTATTGCAATTTGAGATCTTGAATTGAGTTTGATACCCATAAATAGGTTACTTAACTAAATACAAAATCTTTGACTCACACCAATAGTAAGTACATAGGTACTTGTTCATAAATAAGTTAAGTAACTAAATAATATATAAAT